GTGTTATCAAGCTGGAACCTGTCCTCTCTGTGGCTGCTTGTACCTAGCAACAGTGACAGTTATCAATATTATCAATAATATCCATATTATCAGTAATATCAATATTATCTACCGTGTGAAGATAGGTAAGCTAGGCAAATATTTGAAAATTAAATAGGTAAATATTTATGAGTGGAGAGACAGAGAGAGAGAGAGAGAGAGAGAGAGAGAGAGAGAGAGAGAGAGAGAGAGAGAGAGAGAGAGAGAGAGAGAGCTGAGAGAGAGAGAGAGAGAGAGAGAGGATGGGACAAAATAGAGTGACTTCGAGAGTGTATAAATCTGTTGTGGAGGGAAGGCGAGGTAGGAGTCAGCCTAGGAATGGTTTGGAGGGAGGGAATAAAGGGTTTTGTTGGTGAGGAGGGCTTTGGACTTCCAAAAGCATGCGTGACGTACATTGATAGGTTTAATGGAGACAAAATGTTTTTAGGACTTAGCGGTGGCTGTTGGGAGTGTGATCAAAGTAACATTTATGAGGGGTTCATGAAACCGGCAGCCGGACTTGAGTCCTGAGATGGGAAGGTACAGTGCCTGCACTCTGAAGGAGGGGTTTATTGTTGCAGTTTTAAAAACTGTAGGTAACACCCTTCTGCAAGACAGTGATGAGTGATGATATTTTTTTTTTTTCGGGCACCCTGCCTTGGGGAGACGCGATGTGTTAATAATAAATAAATAAATAAATAAATAATAAATTATATATATATATATATATATATATTATATATTATATATAATATAAATATATAATATATATATATATATATATATATTTTATATATATAAATATCGAATTACTTGTTGTGCGCTAAACTCGTAATGGGTCAGTAAAGATCTTAGAGAAACTGTAGGCTGAAAGATTGATCCAAGGAATGGGAAGTGAGTAGCTCCAGTTACTTATATTCAAGGTGGTATTAACACCGAGAGGTGTGTATATCTCATTGTATATACAACCGAGAGGTGTGTAAAATCTTAGATAATAAACACCGATAGGTGTGTATATCTTTAGTGTATAATACGACCGAGAGGTGTAACTATATAAATATATATCTAATATAATATATAAATATATAATATATATATAATTATATAAAGGATATATAATATAATTATGTATATATATATTAGTGATATATAACCGAGAGGTGTGTAAATATCTTTCGAGTAATAATACAACGAGAGGTGGTGTATATTAATAGTGTAAATACACCGAGAGGTGTATTTATCAGTGTATGTACACTGAGAGTTTAGGTTAACTCGTGCGTAAGGTGTGACAGTGATCATGACTGGTGGTGTACAGGTGACATGCAGCCTTAATGACTGTGGCATGCAAAGAGTACGTAACCTTTATTCGGCGCATGTACACCACCCACAATTACAGCTATCTCCCTCAACCAGCGAACCAGGGGACTGAGGGTTGACGATGGGGCCCCGTCGTTCAACCAGTACCCAGGTTCCTGCCAATGAGAAGATGGTTTTGTCAATCGCAGAGGTTATGTGGGTACCACTCTCCTGTCTGCCCTTGTCATTCCCATTCTAGAGCTGGTGGAAGCACGGTCTGCTCTCTAGTGGCTTCTATTTCTGCCATGCATACCGGGGGGGGGGGGGTAGTGGCACTAAATACCTTGATCACTGTACATAGTGTATATAGTGTACATACTTCTGTTCTAAACTGGTGAAGGATAATATGTCAAATGTTTTCTGCTGTGTATATTTTGTTCCCTTACACCCAGGATAACAGCCTTTGGACTCCTGGTTGAATAATGACCCCTTATGAATCAGTACGAGACGCAATTAACAAGTTCAGTAGCACAGTGCCAGCACTCCCAGGCATCCATGCCAGCGAAATAGATAAGATTTTGTTTGGAATTTTTAACCACGGAGGCTAGCCCCATCCAAAATAAATCCCTGAGTTACCTGGAAGAGTTTTCGGGGGTCAACGCCCCTCGCTGCCCGGTCTGTGAGCCAGGGCCACCTGGTGGATCAGCGCGTGATCAACCAGGCCTGTTCTGCTGCTGCACGCAAACTCAACGTACAGCCACAGCCCCGCTGATCAGGTAACTGACTTAGGTGCTTGTCCAGTGCCATCGTGAAGACTGCCCAGGTTCTGTTGGTAACCCCCCCATATGTGTGCTGGAGCAGTTGAACCGTCTCGGCCCCTGACACTTAATGTATGGTCCTTAAAACGTGCTAGTGACACCCCTGCTTCCATTGGGGAGGGGTGCATCGTCGCCAAGTCTTTGCTTCGTAGTGAGTGAATTTCCGTGTGCAAGTTTCGTACTAGTCCCTCTAGGATTTTCCAGCGGATAATCATCATGTATCTCTCCCTCCTGCGTTCAGGAATACAGTTTTATAAACCTCAAGCGCCTCCCAGTAATTGAGGATGTTTTATCTCCGTTATGCGCGCCGTGAAAGTTTCTCTGTACATTTCTAGGTCGGCATTTCACTGCCTTGAAAGGTGCTGTTAAGTGCAGCAATATTCCAGCCTAGATAGAACAAGTGACCTGAAGAGTGTCATCATGGCTTGGCCTCCCCTAGTTATGAAGTTCTCATTATCACTCCTGTCATTTTTCTAGCAATGCGATTGATACAATGTTATGGTCCCTTGAAGATGAGATCCTCCGACATATCACTCCCAGTCTTTGACGTTGGGGGGGGCAGAAGGTCGTGGCCAGAATTTGTTTTGTACTCTGATGAAGATTTAATTTCTCATGTTTACATATCTGAGTAATTGAAAATTTCTCATCGTGAAATTCAATTGTTTTCTGCAGCCCACTGAAAGATTGGTTGATGTCCGCCCTGGAAGCCTTGCAGAAGTTGTCTGCAATGGAAAACACTGTCATGCAGATTCGGGATGGTCATCATGCAAAGGAAGACAACGGTGCTGTGGCTGACCATCCTTGTCTATGTCAGATATTAGGATGAGTAACAAGATGGGTAGCGAGATACTGTGCCTTGTGGACAGAGCTATTTCACCTAGCTGCCCTCGACTTTCCTCTGTTTGACGACTACTCTCGTGTTCTGTAGTGAGTAAATTATAGATCCATCGACCGACTTTTCCTGATATTCCATTGCGCGCATTTTGTGCCTATTACGCCATAGTCACACTTGTCCGAAGGCTTTTGCAAAGTCTGTATATATTACATCTGCATTCTTTTTGTCTTCTAGTGCATGTTAGGACCATGTGTAGTGATCCAAGTAGTTGAGACAGACAGAGCGACCTGTTTCCTAAACCCATGTGCCCTGGGTTTGAACTGATGGGTTCTATGATGGGTGTGAGCTTGCCTCTTAGGAAACATTCAAAGATTTTTATGATATGGGATGTTAGTGCTACATTGGTTCTGTAGTTTCTTTGCTGTTAGCTTTACTCTGCCCCTTTGTGGAGTGGGGCTATGTCTGTTGTTTTTAGTAACTGAGGGACGACCCCCGTGTCCATGCTCCCTCTCCATAGGATGGAAAAGGCTCGTGATAGGGGCTTCTTGCAGTTCTTGATGAACACAGAGTTCCATGAGTCTGGCCCTGGTGCATAAAAGAGTGCATGGAGGTACGTCACGCCAGGATCACCCAGGAGGTTTCGTCACCTAGGAGAAATCCCGGATTACCTGGAAACCTGGAGAGAGTTTCGGGGGTCAACGCCCCGGTTAGTCACCCAGGATAACCTGACATCGTCAGGGCCATCCCGGCTGACACTGCAGCACTAAGGTAAGAAGAACTACCATACACAACCTCCACACCAGCTATCCAGTTCTGTGTTGCCCGGAGCTGCACATCACTGAACCACAGCGGCAGTAAAATGCGGAGAATAGCTTTCAGAATAACGCCAAAGAATAATTCACAGTTACCCTGTGTATGACGTATTCATTGTACGTGTTGAGTATGCAGCACCAGTGGGAACCCCACACCTGGTTGAGCATACGTAGAAGATAAAAAAGTGCAAAGAATTGGACAAGACTAGTCCAGAGCTAAGATCGTATTAGTTAATAGAAAAAGCCCGCAAAGGCAATTACAGTTGGCAAAGCCTCATGACAATACAAAGACAGAAAGAACTCAAGGGTGACATGTTAAACGCCTAGAAAAAGTACTGAGAGGATGGCCAGGCGGGGTCTGAGGTACACAAGGGCACAGCTTGAAAGTTAGAAAACACAGATTAATTCACAGAGATATTAGGAAAACAATCTTTAGCCTTAAAAAGAAGCTCAGGAAGTGGATTGGACGATATCGATAATGAAGTGGTTAAAGAGCAGGTCCATACATAGTATTAAGAATAGGTATGATAGGGCTCATGCAGCCAGGAGAATGAACCCATTAACAGCCAACGAAGAGGCGAAACAAGAAGCTAAGACTTCAAAAGTGAGTCGAGTTAGGCGAGTACACAGTACACTTATCAGGTAAGTCAAGATAAGAGAGGACTTTATCTAGCACCTCTGCCACATTTAATGAGATCCCTGACACCTGTCCCAGCCAGTCAACATCATTATCACAACTACCACAATGGTGGTAGTTATGGTAAGATGTTGTTGTTATGTGTGTTATTCATCAGCTTGTGGGTATTGTATACTCATGATCACTGATGATGAATAACGTCAAGGTTATTAATAGTGAGTAAGCAAGACAAACACTTCTTACTCTGATTCTAACTTATACAAGATCATGACTGACAATGTTTGTCTGTCAGTTTCCTGAGTAATATTGGCCATAGTTTTAAGAGGGTTTAGCCGCCTTAGACAAGAGGTTTTTAGTGAGGTTTGGGGAGGTGATAAAAACATTTCCTTCCACGTCATTTGGCAGTGTTAGAGAAGACAGTGAAGTTGAACCACTTAACGTAATGTTGTAAGGGGAACCATGCAGGTAGACGCTACTGTGTGATGGCAACACGTCAGAGTGAAGGTTATCAGTCTGATGTAACGAGAGAAAATTGAAACCATGTGAATTGGTTTCAGCTGTCATGGACAAGTGACAGTTGTACTGGAGAGTGCTTGTTACAAGCCAACTGTCAGGACGAGTGACAGTGTATTGGAGAGTTCTTGTTACAAGCCAGCTGTCAGGACGAGTGACAGTGTACTGGAGAGTGCTTAATACAAGCCAGCTGTCAGGACGAGTGACAGTGTACTGGAGAGTGCTTAATACAAGCCAGCTGTCAGGACAAGTGACAGTGTATTGGAGAGTTCTTGTTACAAGCCACCTGTCAGGACGAGTGACAGTGTATTGGAGAGTTCTTGTTACAAGCCAACTGTCAGGACGAGTGACAGTGTACTGGAGAGTGCTTGTTACAAGCCAACTGTCAGGACGAGTGACAGTGTACTGGAGAGTGCTTGTTACAAGCTAGCTGTCAGGACGAGTGACAGTGTACTGGAGAGTGCTTGTTACAAGCCAGCTGTCAGGACGAGTGACAGTGTACTGGAGAGTGCCTATTACAAGCCAGCTGTCAGGACGAGTGACAGTGTACTGGAGAGTTCTTGTTACAAGCCAACTCTCAGGACGAGTGACAGTGTACTGGAGAGTGCTTATTACAAGCCAGCTGTCAGGACGAGTGACAGTGTACTGGATAGTGCTTGTTACAAGCCAGTTGTCAGGACGAGTGACAGTGTACTGGAGAGTTCTTGTTACAAGCCAACTGTCAGGACGAGTGACAGTGTACTGGAGAGTGCTTGTTACAAGCCAGCTGTCAGGACGAGTGATGCTAGCAATATCAACAAGTAAGAACCCAGGCAAGTCCACTGAGTTCTATCATAATTAAGGTAGAAATTTAATAAGACGCATAAGTAAACACAAGGATATATATATTAGAAAAACCTTCCAGTAAAAATGACAGAGTATATACAAGACTGAGAGTGAGGTGTGAGTGGCACATTGTGACCTGAAGTCACCTTCGTGACCTGAAGTCACCTTGGTGACCTGAAGTCACCTTGTGTAATACCTCACTCTCAGATCTGTTTGTGTGGGCGGAACGTAGTCAATGAAAGATCACATTATACATCACACGTTCACAATGTACCACACGTTCACAGTGTACCACACGTTCACAGTGTACCACACGTTCACAGTGTACCACACGTTCACAGTGTACCACACATTCACAGTGTACCACACGTTCACAGTGTACCACACATTCACAGTGTACCAACACTTTTCACAGTGTACCACACGTTCACAATGTACCACACGTTCACAGTGTACCACACGTTCACAGTGTACCACACGTTCACAGTGTACCACACGTTCACAGTGTACCCACACGTTTCACAGTGTACCACACGTTCACAGTGTACCACACGTTCACAGTGTACCACACGTTCACAATGTACCACACATTCACAGTGTACCACACGTTCACAGTGTACCACACGTTCACAATGTACCACACATTCACAATGTACCACACGTTCACAGTGTACCACACGTTCACAATGTACCACACGTTCACAGTGTACCACACGTTCACAATGTACCACACGTTCACAGTGTACCACACGTTCACAGTGTACCACACGTTCACAGTGTTGCACACGTTCACAATGTACCACACGTTCACAGTGTTGCACACGTTCACAGTGTACCACACATTCACAATGTACCACACGTTCACAGTGTACCACACGTTCACAGTGTACCACACGTTCACAGTGTACCACACGTTCACAGTGTACCACACGTTCACAGTGTACCACACGTTCACAGTGTAGCACACGTTCACAGTGTTGCACACGTTCACAGTGTTGCACACTTTTCACAGTGTACCACACGTTACAGTGTACCACACTTTTCACAGTGTACCACACGTTCACAGTGTACCACACTTCACAGTGTACCACACGTTCACAGTGTTGCACACGTTCACAGTGTTGCACACGTTCACAGTGTTGCACACGTTCACAGTGTTGCACACGTTCACAGTGTTGCACACGTTCACAGTGTACCACACGTTCACAGTGTACCACACGTTCACAGTGTACCACACGTTCACAGTGTTGCACACGTTCACAGTGTTGCACACGTTCACAGTGTTGCACACGTTCACAGTGTACCACACGTTCACAGTGTACCACACGTTCACAGTGTACCACACGTTCACAGTGTACCACACGTTCACAGTGTTGCACACGTTCACAGTGTTGCACACGTTCACAGTGTACCACACGTTCACAGTGTACCACACGTTCACAGTGTACCACACGTTCACAGTGTACCACACGTTCACAGTGTACCACACGTTCACAGTGTTGCACACGTTCACAGTGTTGCACACGTTCACAGTGTACCACACGTTCACAGTGTACCACACGTTCACAGTGTTGCACACGTTCACAGTGTACCACACTTTTCACAGTGTACCACACGTTCACAGTGTTGCACACGTTCACAGTGTTGCACACGTTCACAGTGTTGCACACGTTCACAGTGTTGCACACGTTCACAGTGTAGCACTCGTTCACAGTGTAGCACTCGTTCACAGTGTAGCACACGTTCACAGTGTACCACACGTTCACAGTGTACCACACGTTTACAGTGTACCACACGTTCACAGTGTACCACACGTTCACAGTGTAGCACACGTTCACAGTGTACCACACGTTCACAGTGTACCACACGTTCACAGTGTACCACACGTTCACAGTGTACCACACGTTCACAGTGTACCACACGTTCACAGTGTACCACACGTTCACAGTGTACCACACGTTCACAGTGTACCACACGTTCACAGTGTACCACACGTTCACGGGTGTAACACCCCGTTCACAGTGTAACACACGTTCACAGTGTACCACACGTTCACAGTGTACCACACGTTCACAGTGTACCACACGTTCACAGTGTACCACACGTTCACAGTGTACCACACGTTCACAGTGTACCACACGTTCACAGTGTACCACACGTTCACAGTGTACCACACGTTCACAGTGTACCACACGTTCACAATGTACCACACGTTCACAGTGTACCACACGTTCACAGTGTACCACACGTTCACAGTGTACCACACGTTCACAGTGTACCACACGTTCACAGTGCACCACACGTTCACAGTGTACCACACGTTCACAGTGTACCACACGTTCACAGTGTACCACACGTTCACAGTGTACCACACATTCACAATGTACCACACGTTCACAGTGTACCACACGTTCACAGTGTACCACACTTTTCACAGTGTACCACACATTCACAGTGTACCACACGTTCACAGTGTACCACACGTTCACAGTGTACCACACGTTCACAGTGTACCACACATTCACAATGTACCACACGTTCACAGTGTACCACACGTTCACAGTGTAACACACGTTCACAGTGTACCACACGTTCACAGTGTACCACACATTCACAATGTACCACACGTTCACAGTGTACCACACGTTCACAGTGTAACACACGTTCACAGTGTACCACACGTTCACAGTGTAACACACGTTCACAGTGTACCACACGTTCACAGTGTAGCACACGTTCACAGTGTTTAATATAACTATGTACTTCTCTAATTAATCAGAATAATCACAATGAAACAAAAGATAGAATATTGCATCTTATGTACTTTATTTGCAACAACAAAAGTCGAGCAATTGCAACAGAAAAGTTTCCAGAAATAATATATATTTGATGTTCTTGTGGACAAAATACAGACGAGGGTGGGAAGAATAACTTATATATTAACATTTGAAGTTATTCTTGATTCCTCTCTCTCTCTCTCTCTCTCTCTCTCTCTCTCTCTCTCTCTCTCTCTCTCTCTCTCTCTCTCTCTCTTCTAATATTCCTCTGTAATATCGCTATTATTGATTACCAGTAACGCAAGGTAGTTAGTGATGGTGAAAAGCACTAGTGGTGTTAACAAGTGTATAACAAGTACATAACAAGTACATTACGAGTACATAACATGACAAGTACATTACAAGCACATAACATGACAAGTACATTACAAGTACATAACATGACAAGTACATTACGAGTACATAACATGACAAGTACATTACAAGTACATAACATGACAAGTACATTACAAGCACATAACATGACAAATACATAACATGACAAGTACATAACAAGTACATAACATGACAAGTACATTACAAGTGTATAACATGACAAGTACATAACATGACAAGTACATAACAAGTACATAACATTACAAGCACATAACATGATAAGTACATTACAAGTACATAACATGATAAGTACATTACAAGCACATAACATGATAAGTACATTACAAGCACATAACATGATAAGTACATTACAAGTACATAACATGACAAGTACATTACAAGCACATAACATGACAAGTACATTACAAGTACATAACATGACAAGTACATTACAAGCACATAACATGACAAATACATAACATGACAAGTACATAACAAGTACATAACATGACAAGTACATTACAAGTGTATAACATGACAAGTACATAACATGACAAGTACATAACAAGTACATAACATGACAAGTACATTACAAGCACATAACATGACAAATACATAACATGACAAGTACAAAACAAGTACATAACAAGTACATAACAAGTACATAATATGACAAGTACATAACAAGTACATAACATGACAAGTACATTACAAGCACATAACATGACAAGTACATAACAAGTGCATAACATGACAAGTACATTACAAGTGCATAACATGACAAGTACATAACAAGTACATAACATGACAAGTACATTACAAGCACATAACATGACAAGTACATTACAAGTGCATAACATGACAAGTACATAACAAGTACATAACATGACAAGTACATTACAAGCACATAACATGACAAGTACATAACATGACAAGTACATTACAAGTGCATAACATGACAAGTACATAACAAGTACATAACATGACAAGTACATAACATGACAAGTACATTACAAAGGACCCCAATGGAAATAAGTCACTCTGTCTGACTTTTTTGGGTTATCCCAGGTTCTCTACACATATGCTGCTATGTATGATAATTCTATGTAACTGTATTGTGTATACCTGAATAAATTTACTTACTTACTTACTTACAAGTACATAACATGACAAGTACATAACAAGTACATAACATGACAAGTACATAACATGACAAGTACATAACATGACAAGTACATAACAAGTACATAACATGACAAGTACATAACATGACAAGTACATAACATGACAAGTACATAACAAGTACATAACATGACAAGTACATAACATGACAAGTACATAACATGACAAGTACATAACAAGTACATAACATGACAAGTACATTACAAGTACATAACATGACAAGTACATAACATGACAAGTACATAACAAGTACATAACATGACAAGTACATAACAAGTACATAGCATGACAAGTACATTACAAGTACAGAACATGACAAGTACATTACAAGTACATAACATGACAAGTACATAACATGACAAGTACATAACAAGTACATAACATGACAAGTACATAACAAGTACATAACAAGTACATGACAAGTACATAACAAGTACATAACATTACAAATACATAACAAGTACATAGCATGACAAGTACATTACAAGTACATAACATGACAAGTACATAACAAGTACATAACAAGTACATAACATGACAAGTACATAACAAGTACATAACATGACAAGTAAATAACAAGTACATAGCATGACAAGTACATTACAAGTACATAACATGGCAAGTACATTACAAGTACATAACATGACAAGTACATTACAAGTACATAACATAACAAGTACATAACAAGTACATAACATGACAAGTACATTACAAGTACATAACATAACATGACAAGTACATTACAAGTACATAACATGACAAGTACATTACAAGTACATTACAAGTACATAACATGACAAGTACATAACATGACAAGTACATTACAAGTACATAACATGACAAGTACATAACATGACAAGTACATAACAAGTACATAACATGACAATTACATAACATGACAAGTACATTACAAGTGCATAACATGACAAGTACATAACATGACAAGTACATAACATGACAAGTACATTACAAGTACATAACATGACAAGTACATTACAAGTACATAACATGACAAGTACATAACATGACAAGTACATAACAAGTACATAACATTACAAGTGCATAACATGACAAGTACATTACAAGTACATAACATGACAAGTACATAACATGACAAGTACATAACATGACAAGTATATAACATGACAAGTACATTACAAGTGTATAATATGACAAGTACATAACATGACAAGTACATAACATGACAAGTACATAACAAGTACATAACATTACAAGTGCATAACATGACAAGTACATTACAAGTACATAACATGACAAGTACATAACATGACAAGTACATAACAAGTACATAACATTACAAGTGCATAACATGACAAGTACATTACAAGTACATAACATGACAAGTACATAACATGACAAGTACATAACATGACAAGTATATAACATGACAAGTACATTACAAGTGTATAACATGACAAGTACATAACATAACAAGTACATAACATTACAAGTGCATAACATGACAAGTACATTACAAGTACATAACATGACAAGTACATAACATGACAAGCACATAACATGACAAGTATATAACATGACAAGTACATTACAAGTACATAACATGACAAGTACATTACAAGTACATAACATGACAAGTACATAACAAGTACATAACATGACAAGTACATAACATGACAAGTACATTACAAGTACATAACATGACAAGTACATTACAAGTACATAACATGACAAGTACATTACAAGTACATAACATGACAAGTACATTACAAGTACATAACATGACAAGTACATAACATGACAAGTACATTACAAGTACATAACTTGACAAGTACATAACATGACAAGTACATTACAAGTACATAACATGACAAGTACATAACATGACAAGTACATAGCAAGTACATAACATAACAAGTACATAACATGACAAGTACATAACATGACAAGTACATTACAAGTACATAACATGACAAGTACATAACAAGTACATAACATGACAAGTACATAACATGACAAGTACATAACATGACAAGTGCATAACATGACAAGTACATAACAAGTATATAACATGACAAGTACATTACGAGTACATAACATGACAAGTACATAACATGACAAGTACATTACAAGTACATAACATGACAAGTACATAACAAGTACATAACATGACAAGTACATAACAAGTACATAACATGACAAGTACATTACAAGTACATAACATGACAAGTACATAACAAGTACATAACATGACAAGTACATTACAAGTACATAACATGACAAGTACATAACAAGTACATAACATGACAAGTACATTACAAGTACATAACATGACAAGTACATAACAAGTACATAACATTACAAGTACATAACATGACAAGTACATAACAAGTACATAACATGACAAGTACATTACAAGTACATAACATTACAAGTACATAACATGACAAGTACATTACAAGTACATAACATGACAAGTACATAACATGACAAGTGCATAACATGACAAGTACATAACATGACAAGTACATTACAAGTGCATAACATGACAAGTACATAACATGACAAGTACATTACAAAAACATAACATGACAAGTACATAACATGACAAGTACATAACATGACAAGTACATAACATGACAAGTACATAACAAGTACATAACATGACAAGTACATGACAAGTACATAACATGACAACTACATAACAAGTACATAACATGACAAGTACATTACAAGTACATAACATGACAAGTACATAACATGACAAGTACATAACATGACAAGTACATAACATAACAAGTACATAACATGACAACTACATAACAAGTACATAACGTGACAAGTACATAACGTGACAAGTACATAACAAGTACATAACAAGTACATAACATGACAAGAACAAAACATGTACATAACATGAATATCATCTCGGCAGGAATGCGTGTGGCTGTGCTGGTGGTGATGATGGTAGTTGTGGTAGCACCAGACAACCTACCAGAGAACCCACCAGACAACCCACCAGACAACCCACCAGACAACCCACCAGACAACCCACCAGACAACCCACCAGACAACCCACCAGACAACCCACCAGACAACCATACAACCCAACTACACAACAACTTAAATGGTAAGACAAGCAGTTATTATTATTATTATTATTATCGTTATTATTGGTTATTATAATTCTTATATTCATTGAGAAACGCTAAACCCACAGCACCTGGCAAAAGGAATGTAATCAGGTTTGATCCGAGGCAGGAGAGAAGTGTTCTACTGCCATGGATCAGAAGCTCTTGAAGGTTCACTCAAGGTTCAACCTTGAGGCTGGGTAAGAAGGGCTCTTGATCCCAAGAATTAGAACCCACCGTCTCCATTTCCTCAGATCAAGACTGCCTCTCCAAGCTGCTCTATGACTCCCCTTGCGAGTTTAGCGGTCCCTCATAAACCAAATCACATTAAATTTAACAATTGTCTCTCTGAGATCAATTAATTTTTTTTACTGTACCCCAGCTGTATACTCCGCCACTGTATCTTCCATGTATATTCTCAAGCAGGGATATACAGTAGGACCCCTGTATCTTCCATGTATATTCTCAAGCAGGGATATACAGTAGGACCCCTGTATCCACTGTATCTTCCATGTATATTCTCAAGCAGGGATATACAGTAGGACCCCTGTATCCACTGTATCTTCCATGTATATTCTCAAGCAGGGATATACAGTAGAACCCCTGTATCCACTGTATCTTCCACATATATTCTCAAGCAGGGATATACAGTAGAACCCTTGTATCCAATGACTCGGTATCCACGGTTTCAGTTATCCACATTTTACCATAGCCCAAAAATACCTCTTAATTTTGCATAATAATGACCCTGAAGTGCAAAAATAGAGACGCTGACAGACCTTCCAAACCTGAAAAAAAAGCTGTGGAATGCTTCCCATCAGTGAAAATTGATAATTCTCCATTTATTGTGCATAATTTATCAATTAAACTTCATAATAGGTATGTATAGGTCTTGTATACAGGGTTTGTTACTATCCAAGGATTCAGTATCCACGGCAGGTCCTTGGAAGGTATCCCCTGAGGATACAGGGGTGTATACCTCTCAGTGTATATACACTGAGAGAGCTTGTCTTAGTCTCTATTTTAGGAATTAAAGTATTTTTGACTGGTGTTGAACATGTTACATGCAGCTTTAATGATTATCATGTAGCAGATAGATTTGAAACCCCCCATTAACCAAGTACTGTAAAAACATTTGAACATTAATTTAAGAACGGTAATAATAATAAGATATTACAAGGACCACAATGAACTAAGTCACTTGGTCTGGCCTTTTTTTTTAGGTGGGGGTTATCCTGGTGGGTAATTTATGCACATGTCACTATGTATAATAATTGTAAATCACCTAAATTTGTGTAACTGTACTTATGTGTACCCGTACCTAAATAAACTTAATTATTCTGCAGGAGGTAGCATCAGGTCATTCCTCGCCCACCTCCTCCGCACCCTGGAGGACAACATTCTTCAGAGGTAAATTATCTTCCTCCACATTATAAACTGGAGGTTAAGACCAGCAGTTACTTTAAAGAATAGCCTTATTAGTACATGTACTATTACATTGACAAGAAAGTGCCAAATCCAAATGGGTCATAAATCAGCAAAGAATAAGATCCTTGCTTTGGAAATGTAATAAGGTGGGTTTAATGTAAATTTAAGTTGGTTAATATAGCACTGATGGGAAGATGGGGACTTCAAATAACTTGAACAAATCTATAACTTAATAATACATTAAACTTAACCCAAAAGAATTAAGAATTTAATAAAAGTGATTCCTAAATAAAACAAAATAAAGATAGGACACTCTGTCCTGATATATTATATATATAAGAGGGGAAAAATAAAACCTATTAAGGCAATATTACACCTGGGGAATGATTCTTCAGGCTTGACTGACACTTTTCTTGGCCTAACATAAATTAACTTCACTGACCCTCAGAACTTGTATTCTGTACTAATTACTAAAATTTATATGTACTGCATTACTGCCACCTTGACTATAATCTGCCGGATGATAGCAACTAACATGTGAATTTCTGGTGTTGCTTAATACAGGGAACGGAACTTCGACGTTGTAAAACTTTTGCGTCTTCTGGGCTCCTCGGAGGAACACATTCTTAGGTGAGCTGTCTACCAGAGGAGTGTTGCAGTGTGAGCAAGGTAACGTTTATGAAGGGATTCAGGGAAACCTGTTAGCCAGACTTGAGTCCTGGAGGTGAGAAATATAGTGTCTGTACTCTGAAGGCTAGGTGAGGATGGTGAAGTTCTGACGGCCATCTGAACTGTGATGTCAGCACATTTTTGGCAAGAGGTATTGAATGAATGATGGTGACTGAGTTTCTTCTTTTTTCATGTCATCCTACCTCAGTGGGAGACAGCTGGTGTGTTAAAAAAATAATTATGAAGAATTACCAAGCTGTTTTACTTTAGAGTGATTTTGGCTTTACAGCCGTAGCCCGGAACCTAACCTGCTGCATAAGCGAGACCCGCCTGTATACACAAGATATTTAACTAACTGCAAGAGCCTTCACATACAACAGGAATGGTTTTGTAAAAATAATTGAATTTCTTGATGCAGGGATTTTGAGCAGTTGAAGACGAGTGTACAAGACGTGGCCGGAGGACTCACTGAGGAAGAGAAGTTAAGGTGAGAGATACTACATTCATGAGGGGATGGGGTGCTAAACCCTAGGGGGTCATACAACACCTAGGGAAATGGGAGGCAATCTGGATTGATCCAAGGAAAGGATCAAACCAGCTTCACAGAACCTCCCTTGAAGGGGATACAGTGCCTGAGGAATGGGAACTAGAGTTTGATCCAAGAAAACAGTTGAAGAGCTCCTCAGATGGAAGCCTAAGGAAGTTTCCCTAGGCTTCCATCTCAGGAAACTGTTAATATATTCTCTCTCTCTCTTCCATTCAGTAATCAATAAATTTCTTGATATTTTCTACATTTTTATACCTGTAGTATTAAAATCAAGGGAAAGCACCACACCCATAGGGGTCATGCAGCACCTGAATTCTTATAAGCTATCATTAAACTTTCATGTATTTTGCTATCACCATATTTATTTATTTTGCTATCATCATATTTATTCAATTTCCTTACATTAATTTATATATTACTTTTGTTACCTCATCTTTTAGCATACTGGAAATCTGACTTAGTGTACCAGATAACAGCTTATGTACATTTTATTCCACCAGGTTTGAGAATGCATTCATGGAAATTTTGCGTATGACACATGATGGTAACGTTCACCTGGACACATACCTGAGGGACTTGCACATTATGAAGACACTTGTCTACCCACACCTTGGTGAAACATACCAGCAGTGTCTCGACTACCTCGAGAAGGTTGGCACCTTTTAAGTATATCCATAGGAAGTGTGATGCCTTTAGAGCCATACAGTACATGAAGAATGGGAGGTGATCAGAGCTGATCCAGTTACTTGGATTAAGAGAGCTTCAGAGGACAGCTCCGAAAGTTTTATACAGGAGGGGGATAGGGGATGGCAGTCTGGTTGGAAGAGAGGTCTAGGGGACTTGTCTTGAAGCAGTGCTGATGGAATTTTGCAGACCTCAGTGACCCTTAGTGCTACCCCTGGCTTTCCATCAGCATCAAGGCATCCCATTTTATGAGAAAGAATAGTACACTCTAGCCTCGATGTTTCAAAACACTGATATCTAATTTCTCTTTTTGTTTTCAGGTAATTACAATGATTATGAAGCCTTGGCTGTGGTTCAAGAGATGGTAGACACCTCAACGTCCTTTAAAACATGGCATAATGGCATAACAGACTGTCACAAACTGTATATACATATACTTTCGTCAGCAGTATCCTGTCTTTCTAACACCTGTATAGAAAATTATTAAGACTATGAGACTGAGAATTTAATGATTATTTTGCCGTATGTCTATATCAATATACAGCGATACCCAGAGTTTCGACCATAATTCGCTCCAGAAGACTGTTTGGGTGCCATTACCAAACGAATTTGTTCCCATTAGGAATAATGTAAATTAGATTAGTCCATTTCAGACCCCCAAAAATACACTTATAAAAGCACTTACAATAATACACTTCCATAATTGTTCGAGTTGGGAGCTGTACGAAACTCGGGGTACCACTGTATGTGTATGTATGTATTCTAATTATCATGCATACACTAAACTTGTATGGGTCATACATCATTATTATTATTACATTCATGGAGCAGCACTAAGCCCACAATGCCTGAACGATCAATTGAGGGCATTCTGCCTTGATTCAAGAAATTGGAGCATGTGTTCCATTCCTTAGATCAAGAGCCTCTTACCATACAGTAATGCAAGGTGGGGGTGTTCCAAGTTAGGGGATAGTGGAAGCAAAGGTTGACCAGAGTCCAAACTTAAAGTCAAAGTTAATGCAGTAGATAAGTTACCATCAAGAATTCAAAGAGCCAGTCTATGTTCAAGGTGTGAGTTACATCGAAGAGAAATAAATCTCAAATCTCTCAAACCATGGCATGGACGGGGGGATATTTTGAATCCATGGCAAGTGTGTCCTAAAACTACAAAAAAATTAACATATTAATGAGTTGTACTGTCATTAAGGCATCCACATTAAAGGAATTATAAACAAAAATACATCAGCCAAAGCCTCTGTAGTTCACTATCTTGATATTTTCAAAATATTCCTAAAATTCAATCATTTTTACTAAACATATATCATTAATTTTCCTTATGCTAAAATAAGCTTTTGCATTAATTTTTAATGAGTGATTGGTGGAATGATGAAGTAAAGGGTGTGATAAAAGAGAAAAAGGTAGCTTATGAGAGGTTTTTACAAAGCAGAAGTGTTATAAGAAGAGCAGAATATATGGAGAGTAAAAGAAAGGTAAAGAGAGTGGTGAGAGAGTGCAAAAGGAGAGCAGATGATAGAGTGGGAGAGGCACTGTCAAGAAATTTTAATGAAAATAAGAAAAAATTTTGGAGTGAGTTAAACAAGTTAAGAAAGCCAAGGGAAAATATGGATTTGTCAGTTAAAAACAGAGTAGGGGAGTTAGTAGATGGGGAGATGGAGGTATTAGGTAGATGGCGAGAATATTTTTAGGAACTTTTAAATGTTAAGGAAGAAACAGAGGCAGTAATTTCATGCACTGGTCAGGGAGGTATACCATCTTTTAGGAGTGAAGAAGAGCAGAATGTAAGTGTGGGGGAGGTACGTGAGGCATTACGTAAAATGAAAGGGGGTAAAGCAGCTGGTACTGATGGGATCATGACAGAAATGTTAAAAGCAGGGGGGGATATAGTGTTGGAGTGGTTGGTACTTTTGTTCAATAAATGTATGAAAGAGGGGAAGGTACCTAGGGATTGGCGGAGAGCATTTTATAGTCCCTTTATATAAAGGGAAAGGGGACAAAAGAGACTGTAAAAATTATAGAGGAATAAGCTTACTGAGTATACCAGGAAAAGTGTACGGTAGGGTTATAATTGAAAGAATTAGAGGTAAGACAGAATGTAGGATTGCGGATGAGCAAGGAGGTTTCAGAGTGGGTAGGGGATGTGTAGATCAAGTGTTTACATTGAAGCATATATGTGAACAGTATTTAGATAAAGGTAGGGAAGTTTTTATTGCATTTATGGATTTAGAAAAGGCATATGATAGAGTGGATAGAGGAGCAATGTGGCAGATGTTGCAAGTATATGGAATAGGTGGTAAGTTATTAAATGCTGTAAAGAGTTTTTATGAAGATAGTGAGGCTCAGGTTAGGGTGTGTAGAAGAGAGGGAGACTATTTCCGGTAAAAGTAGGTCTTAGACAGGGATGTGTAATGTTCACCATGGTTGTTTAATATATTTATAGATGGGGTTGTTAAGGAAGTAAATGCTGGGGTGTTTGGGAGAGGGGTGGGATTAAAAATTATGGGGAATCAAATTCAAAATGGGAATTGACACAGTTACTTTTTGCTGATGATACTGTGCTTATGGGAGATTCTAAAGAAAAATTGCAAAGGTTAGTGGATGAGTTTGGGGAATGTGTGTAAAGGTAGAAAGTTGAAAGTGAACATAGAAAAGAGTAAGGTGATGAGGGTGTCAAATAATTTAGATAAAGAAAAATTGGATATCAAATTGGGGAGGAGGAGTATGGAAGAAGTGAATGTTTTCAGATATTGGGAGTTGACGTGTCGGCGGGATGGATTTATGAAGGATGAGGTTAATCATAAAATTTGATGAGGGAAAAAAGGTGAGTGGTGCGTTGAGGTATATGTGGAGTCAAAAAACGTTATCTATGGAGGCAAAGAAGGGAATGTATGAAAGTATAGTAGTACCAACACTCTTATATGGGTGTGAAGCTTGGGTGGTAAATGCAGCAGCGAGGAGACGGTTGGAGGCAGTGGAGATGTCCTGTTAAGGGCAATGTGTGGTGTAAAATATTATGCAGAAAATTCGGAGTGTGGAAATTAGGAGAAGGTGTGGAGTTAATAAAAGTATTAGTCAGAGGGCAGAAGAGGGGTTGTTGAGGTGGTTTGGTCATTTAGAGAGAATGGATCAAAGTAGAATGACATGGAAAGCATATAAATCTATAGGGGAAGGAAGGCGGGGTAGGGGTCGTCCTCGAAAGGGTTGGAGGAGAGGGGGTAAAGGAGGTTTTGTGGGTAAGGGGCTTGGACTTCCAGCAAGCGTGCGTGAGCGTGTTAGATAGGAGTGAATGGAGACGAATGGTACTTGGGACCTGACGATTGTTGGAGTGTGAGCAGGGTAATATTTAGTGAAGGGATTCAGGGAAAACCGGTTATTTTTCATATAGTCGGACTTGAGTCCTGGAAATGGGAAGTTACAATGCCTGCACTTTAAAGGAGGGGTTTGGGATATTGGCAGTTTGGAGGGATATGTTGTGTATCTTTATATGTGTATGCTTCTAGACTGTTGTATTCTGAGCACCTCTGCAAAAACAGTGATAATGTGCGAGTGTGGTGAAAGTGTTGAATGATGATGAAAGTATTTTCTTTTTGGGGATTTTCTTTCTTTTTTGGGTCACCCTGCCTCGGTGGGAGACGGCCGACTTGTTGAAAAAAAAAAAAAAAAAAAAATTATACATATCATAAGTGTGCCATTATTTTATTACAACTTTCAATATATTATTATCCCTGGAAATAATAGGAGACAATCGAATAAATAAAAGTACATACAATCACTATTTTAATTAATTTACTTTACAATCATTTATACACAAGATATCAAAACCACCAATTGATATTTAAAAAATTCTCAACATATTTGCATCATGCAATAAAAAATTAGATAACATAATTAAATGCTGAAAACATGAATTATCATATCTTGAAGCCACTGTGAATGGCACTAACACCGAATGTGAGGTTCTGGTACGAAGTGTGTCGGAAGCCCACGTCTTCAATCATTTCTTTGAAGCTTTCCTGAAAGACAGAAATTAATAATAAAATTCACAACTGCCTCACAGTCTGGAAACTTTAAAGAACATTTCAGTTTATCCTGAATCATTATCAAGTCATGAGCTGATAAAAATCCAAAAAAGACCAAACTGTCGTCTTCTGTTTCTTTTGAAACTTACGAGTTATTTGAGAATATACGAGTAATGAAATTGCTACATTGTACACAATTTTAAGTTAAAACATTTTTTCATGACTCTTGAACTTCAAGGCCTTACTTTTTTTTTTTTTTTTTTTTAACAAGTCGGCCATCTCCCACCGAGGCAGGGTGACCCAAAAATGAAAGAAAATCCCCAAAAAGAAAATACTTTCATCATTATTCAACACTTTCACCACACTCACACATTATCACTGTTTTTGCAGAGGTGCTCAGAATACAACAGTTTAGAAGCATATACATATAAAGATACACAACATATCTCTCCCAACTGCCAATATCCCAAACCCCTCCTTTAAAGTGCAGGCATTGTACTTCCCAAGGCTTTACACAAGACTATAAACAAAATAACTAAAAATTACTTGATCAGGAAACTTGCGTATGCTTTCCACCAAGTACTTGTAGCTGTTCCAGTCCCCCGCCACCACCTGACCCATGGGTGGGATGATGTTGAACGAATACTGATCATACACCCTGTCAAAGATTAAAGCTATGATGAGGGTTCAACAAGTGGAAATCCATCATTTAAAATACAGTGGACCCTCAGCTAACAATCGCATCAGCTAACATTAAATCCAGCTAACGATACATTTTAACGGAAAAATTTTGCCTCGGCTAATGCTAAAAAACTGACCCAACGTGATTCGTTCGAGACGCATCCACGTGTGGCCTGAGCGCGCCTCAGTTGTCCCGTGGGTGCCAGTGTTTACAAGCCAGCCAGTGCGGTCACATCCACGCATACAATCGGAACATTTCATATTATCATAGCGTTTTTAGTGATTGTACCTGCAAAATAAGTCACCATGGGCCCCAAGAAAGCTTCTAGTGCCAACCCTGTGACAAAAAAGGGTGAGAATTAGTATGGAAATTAAGAAAGATTTTGAAGGGTTTGGGGTTAACCCTGAGATGCCTATGCCAGTTGTGGAATCCATTGTGCCTACTTCAAAGATTAAGGAAATGTGTGCAAAGTGGGTTGAACTGCAAACCTTTATGGATGAAAATCACCCTAACACAGCTATTGCAAGCCATGCTGGTGACTATTACAATGACAATGTTGTGGCCCATTTTAGGCAAATCTTAAAGGAACGGGAGGTACAGACCTCTATAGACAGATTTGTTGTGCGACAGAGGCCCAGTGACTCTCAAGCTGGTCCAAGTGGCATTAAAAGAAGAAGGGAAGTAACCCCGGAAAAGGACTTGATACCTCAAGTCCTAATGAAGGGGATTCCCCTTCTAAACATTAACAACTTCCACACTCTCCCCTCCTCCCATCCCATCAATTGTCACCAGATCTTCAATAAAGGTAAGTGTCAGTTTGTGTGTATTAAAATTAATATTTCATGTGGTAAAAAATTTTTTTTTTTCATACTTTGGGGTGTCTTGCACGGATTAATTTGATTTCCATTATTTCTTATGGGGAAAATTAATTCAGCTAACGATAATTTCAGCTAACAATGAGCTTTCAGGAACGGATTAATATCGTTAGCTGAGGGTCCACTGTATTCTCTCTCTTAATTTATAAACAAAGAACCACATCTCACTTTTTACCAGGACACCAGAAGCATTCCTCCATATATGCATTACTCTCAAGTAAGTTCTAATGTACTCTGACCTTTAGTCCATTTTTATAGTCATCTATTTACAAGCAATGTACTATCTTGTGCTGTCTCCTCAGTCACCTCTAAGTCATTCAATACATTCACATTTCCAATGTTTTTCTTCCCCACACCAGCAAGAACTGGTGTTTATTACGTCTTCAGATTACAGAGTGAGCAGTGCTTACAATTACATTATTGCCTCCCCCATCCACTACTTTGATCTGAATGGAACATAACAGGTGCACCATACTTAACAGTAGTTATTTTAATTTCCCCTTGTTTTTGTGATGAAATAACAATTAACAGAGATGGACAATCAGGCTCAATATGTCCCCTGCAGCCACCTCTCATGGACGAGCGCTGACACTGTTAGATCTTATCAGGAAGTTCTGGGATTCAATTCCCACAAGTAAAAGGAACAGAGATACTATACATACATTTTTCTATCCCTCCTGCATACTGTTTGAAGCAAATAGTAAAGTGGTACTGGGCTAAGGATTTTCTCAATTTCAAATACTGAAGAAATTCTTAGTGTGAAAAAATCACTCGAGGAACTGGCAGATCATGATCCTGAGCAATTAGCTGTGGATACTAATTATGTTAAGACTTATTTATTGAGGCCAACATACCATCTCACAGCTGGGTTTGCAACATGACTGAATTCCAAACACATAAAGCGTCCTCCAGGCTTGAGCACCCTATATGCTTCTACCAAGGCCTGAAATATATGACATTCTTGATAATATATATGTCAACTGAACATTTCATGAAGGGAAAAAAATTCTGCTTTCTTCAATATATTACCAGAATGACACATAAAAATTAGTAACACACCAAATGTCTCCTGAAATAGGGTGACCATAAAAAGAAGAAATACTTTCAAAAATCACTCCATCACTCTTGCCAGAAGCATGCCAATACAGCCTCTCCTCACTTAGCGAAGTACTCGTTTACTGAGGGCCGATTTTACAATGGGCTCTTGAAAAGCATGCATCCCTAAATAATGTTTATTAGAGCAGGCATGCTAAAGGTGTTTGATAGGAGGAATGGAGCAAAGGTTTTTTTTTAATACTTGACGTGCTGTTGGAGTGTGAGCAAAGTAACATTTATGAAGGGTTCAGGTAAACCGGCAGGCCGGACTTGAGTCCTGGAGATGGGAAGTACAGTGCCTGCACTCTGAAGGAGGGGTGTTAAAAGTTGCAGTTTTAAAAAACTGTAGTGAAAGCACCCCTTTTGGTAAAACAGTGATGGAGTGAATGATGGTGAAAGTTTTTTTTTTTGGGCACCCTGCCCTTTGGGGGGAATGGCCAGTGTGTTAACAAAAAAATAATAATAAAAGAGCTGATTTCCTCTATTATGTTTATTACAAAAACAGACATCTGCATAAAACATTTAAAAATATCCGAAATTTTATAAATATGAAAGGGACATTTTAAAAAAATACAAAGATGGGTTGACACAAACCCAAAATCCTTATAGTATGCTCCTCACTTTTTGACGAATTCATTTAAATGACGTATTTTAGGAACAGAATCCGTCTTCAGTGAGGAAGGGTGACTCCAGTTTAGATGCCCCTTTCCCAAACTGAAAAAATCCTAAGACAGCATTCCTTTGGATCAAGAACCCTTCATGGAAATGATGGAGAAGGAAACAAGTGGGGAAAAAAGCAGAGGTTATAAAGTCCTTAAGTGCTCAGAAATCAAGAGCTTTTTGTTAACATGAAGGAAAAAAGGAATTCTACATGTTTCTGAGAGGGGGAACCAGGGCACCTTGAGGAATGTGTTATACTTTTCCAAAGCTTCACCTCCAAAAAATCATGGACTGCATTTTTAATGGGATGATAAAGTTTTGAAAAGCGCAGGGGAAAATGTGGCAGAGAGACACAGCAGCAGCAATGAGAAACAAGAAGAAAAACTGTTTACAAAGTTCGGTAGGCTTTCAACATACAACAATTGGAGGTGGAGGCTAGATGCTCACAACTATATTGGGTAATGACTGAGGATGACATGCAAACCATCACCTTCACCATGGTATTGAGGCAGAGTTCTAAGGATGAGTACATGAAGATATGGAGGATGACAAAGTAGGCATGTTTAATAATGCAAAATTTGGCAACAGCTAAAAACAAATGATTGCTGTTAAATGTAATTATAAATGTTTAAAACTCACTGATAGTAACATTACTGAGAAAACATTTACCTTCTCAACATCGACAACATTCCTGATGCCAAAAGCAATAGTGTAGCAGTCAAACTCGTCATCAGAAAATGGAAGCCTCTGGGCATCTCCGCAGACCCACTGTATACCTTTGTAACCCAACTCCTTGGCTCGTTTCTGGCCTACATCCAGCATACTCTGACTTATATCACATATGGTAACCTGAAATATACACATAATCTCAGCAGCTTTGCATAAGCAGTTTGGAAATTAATAAAAAAATATTCATAGAGCATGCAGAGTGCAAAGACCATGTTTATTTCAAATAGGGCTAGTGTATACAATGACAAAAAAGATAATAGAAAATTAATAAAAAGCCAATTATTAACACTTCAATCAGTGATACTGAATTGTTGTGACTTCCTGCATGTAGCTGACTGAAAGCTGTCTCACTATTAATAATGCTGGGATAAATGACCAGTCCTGCTGAAAATTTCTTAATCATGAGAAGTTACAGCAATCAGAGATATATTTGGAAATTTAAATAGTGTATTCCATATCAATGGTTTTCTGCCATAAAAAAAGGAATTACATTATTAAGTGTTTAACATAATATGTCAGCCTTATTGCAATTCGTTATAAATGAAATGGAACACATTCAAAGTTACAGCATGAAACGCTGTGTTAATACTCATAAATTAAGACTACAATTTTTTTCATTTTTTTTTTTAACAAGTCGGCCGTCTCCCACCGAGGCAGGCTGACCCAAAAAGAAAGAAAATCCCTAAAAAGAAAATACTTTCATCATCATTCAACACTTTCACCTCACTCACACATAATCACTGTTTTTGCAGAGGTGCTCAGAACACAACAGTTAGAAGCAGATAGTATAAGAGGAACAATATTCCCTCTCAAATGCTTATATCCCAAAAACCCCTCCTTAGCAGTGCAGGTATTGTACTTCCATTTTCAGGCTCAAGGCCGGCTATATAAAAATAACCAGTTTCCTGAAATCCCTTCACTAGATATTACCCTGCTCACACTCCAAACAGATCGTCAGGTTCAAATACCATTCGTTCCAATCACTCCTATCGAACCGCTCGCTGCACACTGCTTTGGAAGTCCAAGCCCCTCGCCCACAAAACCTCCCTTACCCATTCCTTCCAGCCTTTTCGAGGACGACCCCATACCCCGCCTTCCTCCCCTACAGATTTAATGGCTCTCCATTGTCTTCTACTTTGATTCATGCTCTCTAAACTGACCAAACCACTCAACAACCCCTCTGCAGCCTCTGACTAATTACTTTTTTTAACTCCAACCTTCTCCTAATTTCCTCACTGCCGTATTTTCTGATAATATTTACAACACAACATTGCCTTAGACAGGACATCTCCACTGCCTTCAACCGCCTCCTCGCTGCTGCATTCACAACCAAGTCACACCCATATAAAAGTGTTGGTTACTTACTATATTTCATACAGTCCCTTCTTTGCCTTCCATAGATAACGTTTTCTGCTCCACTTATACCTCACGCACCATGCCTTTTTTCCTCATCAATTCTATGATTAACCTCTTCCTTCATAAATCCATCCGCCGACACGTCAACTCCCAAAGGAACAGTGGACCCCCGCCATAGCGACCTTATCCGTGCAATGAGGGCTGGTGTTATGGAATTGTTCGGTATGTGGAATGAATTTTTCCCCTAAGAAAATAATGGAAATAAAAAATTATTCCGTGCAAGACACCCACAAGTATGAAAAAAAATTTTTTTACCACATGGAAATGTTAATTTTAGTTTTAACACACAACTGAAAAGGCATGAACAATTAATGACACTTACTTTTATTGAAGATCTGGTGATGATGATGGGACTGGGAGGAGGGAGAGAGAGTGTCGTGTTTAGAGGGGGAAATCCCCTTCCATTAAGACTTGAGGTGTCGTGTCTTTTCTGGGGTTACTTCCCTTCTTCTTTTTAATGCCTCTAGGACCGCTTCAGGAGTCACTGGACTTCTTTCGCACACATATCTGTCCATAGTGGCCTGTACCTCTCGTTCCTTTATGATTTGTCTAAAGTGGTTCACAACATTGTCATTGTAACGTCACCGCACGGCTTGCAATAGCTGTTGTTGTGTGGGTGATTTTCATCAAAAAAGGTTTGCATTTTTCAAAACCATTTTTGTACACATTTCCTTAATCTTTGAAGTAGGCAATTCCTTCTATTTCTCTCTCCCTCCTTTGTACCAGTTTCCCCAGGTCTGGCCTCTTGCTCTTGAAAGTTGATCTATCAGCTCATCAGTGGTTTGTTCATCATTGACTCTCCACCAACTTTCCACATCTCCCACTAACCTCCAACCCCAAGGACTTCCCCAATGCCACAATTGATGCCTCATCAATTGGTATACTCCACTCTCAGGGTTAGCCTCAAACCTTCAAAATCCCTTTTGTCTACACATTCTGGCCACAGTTTCTTCCAAGCAGAGTTCAAGGTCTTCTTAGTCACTCCCTCTCCAAGCCTTTACTATAAGGTTTATACCATTTGAGGATATTAAAGTGATCTCTCCAAAACTCTCTTTAGAGTCAGTTGAGGTTTCTGAGTCACTACAAAGCACCTTTCAAATCAGAGCTTTTGTGTCACTTTTGGGATGTTTGCCAATAACCTGCTGAGTCCATGGCTGCAGAGAGGAGTGGTATTAGGAGGCAAAAAACTTCACCTTAATGAAGTTCATGTCCCCATAAAGTCACTTGCCAGTCTGTAGGATGACCAGGGGCATTGTCTAAACACCAGGAGGCACTTAAGGTTCTAATTTCTTTTCAGTTAGGTAATCTTTGGACATTGGGGGGCAAATGCATGGGGTACCAGTTTCGAAAAAAAAAAAAGTCCCTAGTGACCCATGCCTTATGTATGCCTCCACAGCACACACAAATGATCCTTGAGGACAGTCTTTTGCCTGAACACTTGGGAGTTCTGAGTGATACACTACTAAAGGCTTTTAACTTTTCAACACCCATAGCATTGGCACACATAAACAAAGGTAGCCTGTATTTCATAGGCTTTATGTCCTGGGGATGCCATTTTTCCTCCTGAGTAATGTAGGTCCTGCTTGGCAGTTTTCTTCCAGAACTGGCTGTTTCATCACAAATTTTAAACCACTTGTTCAGGTTTTCAGTCCTTCAGTTTCTATGTACTCCTTGAATTCTGCACATATTTTTAGCCGCTTTGTGGTCCGATCTGGCACACAGCCTCACCATGCCGTATCCACACTATGTATGCCATACGCTCTTATATCTCTCAAACCAACCTTTGCTGGCCTTAAATTCACTCACATCTATCACTAGTTGTCAGGCCTTTTTTTAATTAAATCCTCATGCAACTTCCTAGCTTTTTCGCTTTTGATTCGACTTGAGAGCCGCTATCTCCTGCTAGCTGTTTTCATTTAATCCAATCAATAAGAGTCTCTCCACATTCTTCCATCACTTGCGATCTTTGTTTCGAAAAACACAGTTAAAACTTTGGCAAGAACAGGCTTCCTTGTTTGCCTTTCTGTTGCCCACATTTGTAGAGATGGATGTTTTGATTTGAGGTTATTGTAAACCTGACCTGGTCGGTGGATACGCACTCCACGTTTCCTACTTATCAATGTTCTCTTTCTTCATTTTCTATAGGAATATCTAACCCTTACTTGCTGTAGGGTTGGAACTAGAAGCTTTCTTGGGGCCCATGGTCACTTATTTTCCAGAACACAGCACCGAAAACACTGTAAATAATACGAAATATTCGATTGTATGCTTGAATGTTACGCGGAGGCTGGGCTGTAAACAATGCCACCGGCGGAACTATGAGGCCTGGCTCAGGCGCACATTGGCGCGTCTCGGACGAAGGGCGCTGAGGGGTTTTTGGCGGTTTGCGGGGCAAAAATTTTAGCGATCAAAGCGTTCCGGTATGCGGATTGTCCGTTTTATGCAAGGCGTCCGTTATGCGGGGGTCACTGTCTATCGAAAAACATTCACTTCTTCATACTCCTCCTCCTCCCCATTTGGTTTCCAATTTTTCTTTATCTAAATCATTGATACTCTCTCATCTTACTCTTTTTCTATGGTCACTTTTCAACTTTCTACCTTTTCACCACAGTCCCAATTGGTCTGCTAACCTTTGCAATTTTTCTTTAGAACCTACCATAAAGCCACAGTATCATCAGCAAAAAAGCAACTGTGTCATTCCCCATTTTGTATTTATTCCCATAATCTAATCCCACCCATCTGCGGAACACCCTAGACATTTTACTTCTTATACATCCCCATCTATAGATAAAGTGGACCCACGCGTACAATATTATTTCATTCAGAAGTATGGTCAGAGTGTTTTTACCGAATCGAATTTGTTCCCAAAAGAATACTGTAAATTAGATTAGTTCCGTTTCAGACCCCCAAAAATTACACGTACAAAAGCACTTGCATAAATACACTTACATAACTGGTCGCATTGGAAGGTGATCATAAGGCAGGGGTCCACTGTATATTAAACAACCATGGTGACATTACACATCCCTGTCTAAGACCTACTTTTACCGGGAAGTAGTCTCCCTCTCTTCTACACACCCTAACCTGAGCCTCACTATCCTCATAAAAACTCTTTACAGTATTTAGTAACCAACCACCTATTCCATATACTACTTGCAACATCTGCCATATTGCTCCCCTATCTGCAAAATCTGTTATAAATTCCCATGGTTTGCCTTAGACTGAATGATTTGATAAATTACAAAAGTATTACCAAACCAAACCTCTCATATGGAGGATGGTTACTTAGGAATCCTTATCTTCTTCAATCGGTGAAACTTCAGTGTCACCTCCTCCAATTCTGTTCTGAAGGTACCTGATGAAATCTGTCCTCCATAATGGGCCTGCCTGTTTCTGGCTGGGTAGTATTATGTTGAATGTTAGCGGCAAAGCAATATCACCTGCTGGAAAGTGAAGGTCAAAATGAGCGTATACAAAAAATGCTCGTTTCCTTAAAAGAAGGTAATAGTGTGTGTCATATGGATGTATGTAATATGATATGGCTAAGAATTCAATTGTGTGTGTATTTGTACGTCCATATGAAGGTGAAGGCATACAAGCCAGTATGCATACAAGCACGTCACTTGAGGGTGTGTGTGTGCGTGACTCATAATAACGTCAGTAATACAGTGGAACTCAAAATATCGAACTTTCTTCGGTTCCAGAAGGCTGTTCGAGGGCTTTAACCGATGAAATTTATTCCCATCAGGAATAATTGTAAATTATTATAGACCATTTCAGACACTCAAAATTACACATATAAATGCAAATACAAAAAATTCACTTACATAATTGGTCGTGTTGGGAGCAGTTCGATTTTTGAGGTTCCACTGTATAATGAATAATACAGTATTATACTATATTTAGTATTATATGCACCAAGGAAAAAATTAGTACATAATAATGAATCTATTTATCCTCATGATGAAATCATTTATCCTCATAAAGTAATACAGTATTTACAAAAAAGTAAAAAAAAAAAAAGTAAAGAGAGAATCAATTAACAAACTTAACCAGTTCCTCCAGCAACATCCAGCAGTTTAGTATTGGGTTGAGGATGTATGCAGGATATAAAGTAATCCTTCCACAGACGGTGAATACCTCCGGACATCAAGTCATTCATCAAGTCATAATTGCTGGCCACGTTCTCGAACACTCCGTGAACTGTTAAAACAATATTTTTTCACAGTAAGATAGATGTCTTCCAATTATTAAAAGAGTTTACAATACTACCTTACAATAAGGGGGTAAAGGTGGTTTTGTGGGCGAGGGGCATAGACTTCCAGCAAGCATGTGTGAGCGTGCTAGATAGGAGTGAATGGAGATGAATGGTTTCTGGGACCTGATGAGCTGTTGGAGTGTGAGAAGGGTAATATTTTGGGAAGGATTCAGGGAAACTGGTTAGCCGGACTTGAGTCCTGGAAATGGGAGGTACAATGCCTGCACTTTAAAGGAGGGGTTTAGGATATAGGCAGTTTGGAGGGACTTCTAAACTGTCGTATCTGAGCGCATCGCAAAAGTCACTGATATGTACGAGTGACAGTGAAAGTGTTGAATGATGATGAAAGTTTTATTTTCTTTTTGGGTTTTACTTTCTTTTTGGGTCACCTGCCTCGGGAAAACAGCCGACGTTATTGTAAAAAAAAAAAATCAAGTACTTACAAGAATAAAAAAATCAATTGCAGGATGGAAGATTAAAAAAAAAAAAAAAGCAAATTTAAGATGGGAACCTTATAAAATCTCCTGTACAACTGCACTACTGTTCACGTAGCTACCTCACTTTCTGTACATTTAAAAAAAAAAACTCCTATTTAGTAGCCTATGTTTAGTTCTTAAGTAGTCTTCAAGCATAGGATTAGTCTGCCTGAAATGCACATACATGCCAGTGACTTTCTTTGATGCTTACCAATATTTTATGACATGTAAACGACATTCTGTATATCTGCAGGAAAGAAATAAAACTGTATTATATGGTCCAAGATGGACTAAAATATCCTCGTAATGTTCGTCTCCTCATTACGTAAGTTTATTAGCATACATAGTAACATATGTGTAAATTAACTACGAAAAACCCAAAATAGTCCAAGTGATGTATTTCCATTGTGGTCCAGTTACCTTTCTCAGCTTTCTGGTGTTCTGACACATCCTCAAAACCAAAATGTGTCTGTTTCTCTGCTGAATATTCTTCCTTGGCATACCCTGATGTTGTAGATTTATCCTGCGATATCTGTGAAAAATCTTTGAAGCCAATTTAAGAGAGTTTGGTGATACCCCAGGCCATGACCACATCCTCTCAGCTGTCACAATATAAAACATTTGTTCCGAAACTTACTGCTTTGGACCTTCGTCTTGGTCTCGGAGTTTTAATGCAGAGGAACATGTAAGAAAAATGACTATTACTTCATTATTTAATAGTATGTTTAAATGGATTGATAAGGCGAATTGAAAATAAGTAAATGGATAGTTTGAGTTAATTTACATTTCTATCACAATTAGAGTAACATCACATTAGAACCCAAAATTTGGTTGCTAGGCACGCATCCTTGTTCAGACGTAAGCAATCTGCAGGACTATGATTATTATTATTATTATTACTCAATGGGAGCGCTAAACCCGTTAGGTTATAAGCGCCGGGGGGGGAATATGTGGAAGGCAATTCAGGTTATTCGGGGAACTGGAGCACAGTTCCATTCCCTAATCAAGAGCCCCCTCACCACATCAAGGATCCTTAATGAGGGGTGCAGGATAAGAACATAAGAACGAGGAGAACACTGTTGGTATGCTACTGGCCTAGCTTAAGGGGCCCAAGGGTACAATTCACACCACTCATGTACAATCAACCTATATTTACAGCCTACCAGAGTTCCTGCCTCATAACACTACTTTGCCTTTTTTTTCGGGTTTGTTCCACTCATTTACAAACTCTATTGCCAAAGCAGTAGTTCTTCTATATTTGTATTATGTCTGTATAAGATATGTTTCAATAAATCAAAATATAAAATAAAAGTTTCTTCTATTACCTTCTTTGCGAACACTTAAGCACTGATGTCTTGACTTCAAATTTCTGCTAACCAGAACTCATAAATATTCAGTCACCTCAACAAAAATCTACATTATTTAGCTTGTAATTGACAAAGCTATTTTCTTTCCAGAGAATTAGAAGCTTACACTTGTGTATATTAATGTTCATCTGCCACACCTGTGACAACATCAACCTATTGGTGTCTCATCTCATACCTACCGTTCCTGCTCACCTAGTAGTAAGTAGGTACCCGGGTGTTAGTAGACTGGTGTGGGTCGCATCCTGGGGGACGAGATTGATGACCACAATAGAACAGGGACACCAGCTGTAAGGAAACACGCCAATTGTTTCCACCTGTGCCGGGAACTGAACCACGGCCACTCACTGTGTGAGGCGAGACCGCTGTTCTACCAGGGCCACATCTTCTTAGGCAGTAATTATCTGGTTGTAGGATATCAGACCTTAAACCTAGAAATTCAACAGCTGCACCCAGGCTTGTTCACCACCTGGCTGCACTCTCTGAACTGCCTTAAACTCTAGTGATTGTAGAAGTTCAGTGGTTAGACAGTTCTGCTCACAAGCAACGAACCCGAGTTCAATCTCCGGGCGAGTTTAGCCTCATGACCAATGTTCGTTACAACTGTTAGTCATGTTCACCTACCAATATATTGGTAAGTTAGTTCAACCTGACTGTCGTGGGTAGCATCCTGGGGGAGAGGGTCAAAATAAACCTATTGCATCACCTTCAAGTCTCCTGACTAATTAATATAATGAAAGTTGTGTAATAATAATAATAATAATAATAATAATAATAATAATAATAATAATAATAATAATAATAAAATAATAATGATCCATTTAAGACTTTCCACTTATTTTTACGACCCTCATAGCAAAGTCTCTTCTAATAGAGCCGGGCTCTAGCTCTGGTGCCTCCGTGGCCAGGATGCCTGCCTATGTGCACTTCATGGACGCCCCGTAGTATCGTTCACGTCGTGGTAATATCTCCCCTGATTCTTCTCCCCCGTGGTTATGCTAGATGCAGTTCCTTGACAGTCACCTGCCAGGTTATTTATGCCTATGTATCTACCTGGTACATGCGTGGGAACAAGCCTGGGTATATTGTTGATATGTTTGTGAGAACACAGCTGACACTCTTATCTTCAACTCCCAGGGTTGATATGAAGTTTGACTTTCATTAAAGGCAATCAGTGCCACTGAGCATTTTATGTAAATTAGAGAAGGACCCTGGCTCAATCTTGGGCGAGGAGAGACGTTGGCACAAGTTTCCTAACACCAGAGGGGACCAGGAGCTGTGAATCGACCCTTGCAACCTCAAGCAGTGACCCCAGTATCACACAAGCCCCAGCTCCTAGTACTTAAGTGCAAGTGAAACATATACTGCCTCATCCTGCAAGACTTAGAGGTCCAGGAGCTGTAACTCAACCCTCTCAGGGAAGGATAGGAACTCCATTACCAATATAAAAAAATATCTTAGGAAAAGTTTAATTTCTATAATATGGATCAAAGCAAAGTCTAAATGTATATACACAGACACACCTCTCAGTGTATATACACTGACACACCTCTCAGTGTATATACACTGACACACCTCTCAGTGTATATACACAGACACACCTCTCAGTGTATATACACTGACACACCTCTCAGTGTATATACACAGACACACCTCTCAGTGTATATACACTGACACACCTCTCAGTGTATATACACTGACACACCTCTCAGTGTATATACACAGACACACCTCTCAGTGTATATACACTGACACACCTCTCAGTGTATATACACTGACACACCTCTCAGTGTATATACACTGACACACCTCTCAGTGTATATACACTGACACACCTCTCAGTGTATATACACAGACACACCTCTCAGTGTATATACACTGACACACACCTCTCAGTGTATATACACTGACACACCTCTCAGTGTATATACACTGACACACACTCTCAGTGTATATACACAGACACACTCTCAGTGTATATACACTGACACACCTCTCAGTGTATATACACTGACACACCTCTCAGTGTATATACACAGACACACCTCTCAGTGTATATACACAGACACACCTCTCAGTGTATATACACTGACACACCTCTCAGTGTATATACACAGACACACCTCTCAGTGTATATACACTGACACACCTCTCAGTGTATATACACAGACACACCTCTCAGTGTATATACACAGACACACCTCTCAGTGTATATACACAGACACACCTCTCAGTGTATATACACAGACGCACCTCTCAGTGTATATACACAGACACACCTCTCAGTGTATATACACAGACACACCTCTCAGTGTATATACACAGACACGCCTCTCAGTGTATATACACAGACACACCTCTCATGTGTATATACACAGACACACCTCTCAGTGTATATACACAGACACACCTCTCAGTGTATATACACAGACACACCTCTCAGTGTATATACACTGACACACCTCTCAGTGTATATACACAGACACACCTCTCAGTGTATATACACTGACACACCTCTCAGTGTATATACACAGACACACCTCTCAGTGTATATACACAGACACACCTCTCAGTGTATATACACAGACACACCTCTCAGTGTATATACACAGACACACCTCTCAGTGTATATACACAGACGCACCTCTCAGTGTATATACACAGACACACCTCTCAGTGTATATACACAGACACGCCTCTCAGTGTATATACACAGACACACCTCTCAGTGTATATACACGACGCACCTCTCAGTGTATATACACAGACACACCTCTCAGTGTATATACACAGACACGCCTCTCAGTGTATATACACAGACACACCTCTCAGTGTATATACACAGACACACCTCTCAGTGTATATACACAGACACACCTCTCAGTGTATATACACTGACACACCTCTCAGTGTATATACACAGACACACCTCTCAGTGTATATACACAGACACACCTCTCAGTGTATTTACACAGACACACCTCTCAGTGTATATACACAGACACACCTCTCAGTGTATATACACAGACACACCTCTCAGTGTATATACACAGACACACCTCTCAGTGTATATACACTGACACACCTCTCAGTGTATATACACTGACACACCTCTCAGTGTATATACACAGACACACCTCTCAGTGTATATACACAGACACACCTCTCAGTGTATATACACTGACACACCTCTCAGTGTATATACACAGACACACCTCTCAGTGTATATACACTGACACACCTCTCAGTGTATATACACAGACACACCTCTCAGTGTATATACACAGACACACCTCTCAGTGTATATACACAGACACACCTCTCAGTGTATATACACAGATCATTAATAATATTATACAACAAAATTATTCTTGCTGCTCCCATCTTATTCTAGCAATAATAATAATAATAATAATAATAATAATAATAATAATAATAATAATAATAATAATAATAATAATAATAATAATAATAGTAATAATAATAATAATAATATAATAATAATAGTAATATAATATAATAATAATAATAATAATAATAATAATAATAATAGTAATAATAATAATAATAATAATAATAATAATAATAATAATAATAATAATAATAATAATAATAATAATAATAATAATAACAAGCCTTTATTTTGTCCCCAGGATGCGACCCACACCAGTCCACTAACACCCAGGTACCTATTTTACTGCTAGGTGAACATGGACAGCAGGTGTCTTAAGGAAACACGTCCCAATGTTTCCAGCCGTACCGGGGATCGAACCATGGACCTCAATGTGTGAGCTGAGTGCGCTACCAACCGAGTAAGAGACATTCATAAGGCAGCAGGTACCCTTCCCTCCTTGAAGGAGGGTTACCTGTTAGCAGGTACCAGTCAGAAGGTGCCAGCCAGCTGGCACTAGCCAGCAGGTACGAGCCAGCAGGTACGAGCCAGCAGGTACCAGCCAGCAGGCACCAGCCAGCAGGTACCAGCCAGCAGGCACCAACCAGCAGGCACCAACCAGCAGGTACCAGCCAGCAGGTACCAGCCAGCAGGTTCCAACCAGCAAGCACCAACCAGCAGGTACCAACCAGCAGGTACCAGCCAGCAGGCACCAGCCAGCAGGTACCAACCAGCAGGCACCAACCAGCAGGTACCAGCCAGCAGGCACCAGCCAGCAGGTACCAACCAGCAGGTACCAGCCAGCAGGCACCAGCCAGCAGGTACCAACCAGCAGGTACCAACCAGCAGGTACCAACCAGCAGGTACCAGCCAGCAGGTACCAGCCAGCAGGTTCCAACCAGCAAGCACCAACCAGCAGGTACCAGCCAGCAGGTACCAGCCAGCAGGTTCCAACCAGCAAGCACCAACCAGCAGGTACCAACCAGAAGGCACCAACCAGCAGGTACCAACCAGCAGGTACCAGCCAGCAGGTTCCAACCAGCAAGCACCAACCAGCAGGTACCAACCAGAAGGCACCAACCAGCAGGTACCAACCAGCAGGTACCAGCCAGCAGGTACCAACCAGCAGGTACCAACCAGCAGGTACGAGCCAGCAGGTACGAGCCAGCATGTACCAGCCACCAGGTTCCAACCAGCAAGCACCAACCAGCAGGTACCAACCAGAAGGCACCAACCAGCAGGTACCAACCAGCAGGTACCAGCCAGCAGGTACCAGCCAGCAGGCACCAGCCAGCAGGTACGAGCCAGCAGGTACGAGCCAGCAGGTACCAGCCAGCAGGCACCAGCCAGCAGGTTCCAACCAGAAGGCACCAACCAGAAGGCACCAACCAGAAGGCACCAACCAGCAGGTACCAGCCAGCAGGTACCAGCCAGCAGGTACCAGCCAGCAGGTTCCAACCAGAAGGCACCAACCAGAAGGCACCAACCAGAAGGCACCAACCAGCAGGTACCAACCAGCAGGCACCAACCAGCAAGCACCAACCAGCAGGTACCAACCAGCAAGCACCAACCAGCAGGTACCAACCAGCAGGCACCAACCAGCAAGCACCAACCAGCAGGTACCAACCAGCAGGCACCAACCAGCAGGTACCAACCAGCAGGTACCAGTCACTGACGTACAGAAAAATACATGAATGCTATCTCACACACGATACATTGATAGTGTATCAGTAACACGGATCCACTTGCATTATCTGAGCC